AAAAGCTGTAAAATGATGTGTTTAGGATTTTATTTGCCTTATTGCACATCAAACGTCCTGCGATTTTGCGCGCACTGCGATGTCGATGCTTGTATCGTCCCACGTATATGTATTTTGTAAATATTTGTTTTTTAACCATAAAACACAGAAACGGCTGCATTAGAGTGTTTAGTTTCCCTTCCATTACTTGTTCTAATTGCTAAATGTGCTGTAGCCTCTCTTGCATGCTGTGCATAAACAGCCCTGACGCTGCATCTAAATCTCCTGCATGCATGAGGGTTAAAAGGTCTCTTCAGCGAATTTCCTCACATCATCGTTATAAGCATCTTCACCGCCGCCGCCATCATCAGAGGCGTCCGTCATCCCTATCACCATCACCATCCTAAGCATCTTGGCCGTGTTCCTCATCTACATCTTCATCTGCTCCTCCTCTAGTCTCCGGAGGAGGATTCCCTGTCGGAGGCCGAGGAGCTTCGGGGCAGCATGCGTCCAGAGGAGTGGATGTGAAGTGACAGAAGCTGCATGTATTTATAGGCTATCTGAGTAGAGAAATGTGCTGCTCACTGTTGAAGCTATTTATAGAGCCTTTTACTGATGCCTCTGAGTAGAGTGGAGGAGAGGAGATGGTCCTCCCGGGAATGACTTACGAGGCTCCCTCATATCTGCCTCTACCCCCATTCAGCGCACGTCCGCCCTTCTACGTCCGACAGCTCGACGCTCCATCCTCTTGCCTCGACTCTTGTTTCTCACTTTCCCTCTGCCCTCCCCATCATCTCTCTCCCGCTGATCTCCACCTCTTTGCCTCCTCTCCTGCCCTGTCCCCCCCTCCCTTTGCCTCTTCGCTCACATCCATCATTTTCCCTCCCATTTCTCCCTGTTTACTCTCCTCCCACCTCTCTTTTCCTGCCTTTTGTAGTTTCCAGATCTTCTCGAGCACCTTTTCGCTGTCTTGTGCTCTTCTGTCCACACCGCTAGCAAAGAGGCACTCATGTTGCTCATTTGCAGAGAGCAGATCCATCTAACACTCCTCTCTAAATGTCTTTCACAGCAGGTGCTCTGACAGGAGCTCGGATTTGTCTTCTGAAGTGGTCAAGTTATCCCCCCGTAAATGAAATGAAATGGCGCCGCAAATTTTCTGAGCTCAAAGGCTCGAGAAGTTCGTTAGACTATCAAACAGTGACAATCTTATCAAATGGTTCAACCTGTAATCTGTAATACCTCTTTGAAGCTTCACTCCTCTCAAAGCCAGAATTCTCCATCTGTGCCTTTTTGATTTCTTCTGCTTGACACTTTTTCCAACCATTTATTCCTCTCTCGCATGAGCTGGTTCATCTCTCTGATCAGTCTTCAGTGACCATTAGTCCCTCATCCTGGTGAAAATATGTCCTTGAAGTGGTTAGAAGTCCTGCTACTGACTGCTTGGCACGTGTGCTTGCCTAAGTGTGAACGCATGTGCAAAAAGAAAACCCGCAAAGAAGTACGCATGCACGTGCGAACACAAAGACACGCGCGGTGGGCAGCCTGGAGGCCACAATACAGCATCGGAATAAAGTTATTAACACCACACAGCAAATTATCACATTCGATTCATTATTTTTTGTGAGTGGGGGGGGATGGCCAATCCTGGAGCTGAATGATGTAACAGGATGCAGTAGTTGATGTCAGCATGTGAGTCTTCTAGCTGTGCGAACACACACACACACACACACACACACACACAGACAGACACACTTCCTCCCACGTCCTTGACAGCATGTTGTGATGCAGAGTGGCGTCTGCTTGTCAAGCTGACAGACCCGCACTGACAGCATGGTCAGAGCGCTGCAGACAAGGGAGAAAAACACTGATTTTATAACGCTCCAAACCACAACAACAAACAGCCCGCCGGGCACGAGCAGTGCACTGCTCAGGACCGTCATGCCTGTGTGTTTTTTTTTTTTGCCGTCTGATGCTGTGTCACTCCGATGGTTGAGCAACGCCTGCTTATGTGACTCCCAGACTGCCAGGAAGTGATGCAGTGAATTTATACGAAACGTGCACACACGAGCGACTGAGAAAAAGCACGACAAATTCGTGGAATCGGCCGTAATATCACAGCTGCACTTAAATGAAATTCAAACATTCGGCATACGATTCAAAGCTGCAGTGCAGGAGGTCTGCGAGTTTCTATAATCTTCATTACGCTGTATCAGCTTTGTTAAGTGATAGGCAGTTAATTATGGGGATGTCATTACTGCTCACACATCACACGGAATAACTGTCTTTCCGTTCTCAGAAAGGGCTGCAAGGCGGCTGTAATTGAAATGTGGTGACAAAACCGCGGCTCACGCTACCAAAAACAGCCACGTGTCGTCCTTCAGCCTCAACAGGGCCGAAGTGTTGAAGCTCAGCCAGTCCCCATCACCTCAGCCGTCACCCTGTCAGTCTGCCTTCACTGCGCTATTACGCAGCCAACAGTCTGAGAAAGGTAAGAAGAAAGGAGAAGCGGAGGGAAGGAGAAGGAGAAGGAGACGTCGTCTGGAGTTGAAATTGAAAGGGAGAGAGAAAATGCGATGGAGTGAGGTGGTGACCAAAAAGAAATCAAAGAGGCAGAGAAGGAGGGAGAGGCGGGGAAGGAGGGGGGACATGAGAGCGAGCTGAAGCAAAGAGATGAAGACGACAGGGGGGGAGGGATGAAGGGAGGAGAGGAAAAAGAGGGAGAGAGAGGCTCAGGAACTGTGCAGCTGTGGGACCGTATTAAACAATCACTTCTGTGTCAGCGGCTCAACACACCGGCAGAGGACATCTAGTGTAGTAGGAGCGCTCGGCCAACGCAAAAACAACTACGGCTCATGTCAAAACTAGCCTTGTTTCCCCCTCATGGATCTGCACCAGGATCTGAACGACAAAGGACGCTGGGATGTGTCTGACGAGCACAACAACCTTTTCCGAAAGCATCCAATCAACTGAGGGAGCAAACGTATAGTCTGCAGAGTCAAGAATCAGAGCTGATTCATGAGCTGCTCGCCGTATTGACATAAGGCGGGCCCGCCGGGGACGGCATCCCCTCAATGTCAATCACAGCAATGGCATCGTCCCCCGACAGGCAAAAGGCACTCACAGCACAACCCGTGTTCACATGTAACCGACAGGCGTGAAGTGTTGAGATTCGTTTGTGTGACGTGTAAATATTCTCACTGATGGAAAAAAAAATAAAAAAATTCTTCCCAATACATCCGAGAGAGGAACGTGTTATCATCTTTGTATATCTGTGTGTGTGTTGTGCGCGTCTAGCGTGTGCCGAAGGGGGTAGGGCATCACGACAACGCAAGCCTCGAGACAAGAGGGTGGTTGCCGTGGAAACCTCAGGCTGAGCGCTCGGCAGCCGGACGACTGAGGCAAAAGAAGGAGGGATAGACGGCGAGAGACAGAGAGAGAGAGAAGAGAGAGTATGTGTGATGAAAGAAATAAGAGGGCAACATCCCGAGGGCGAGGAGAGGGGGAAACTAAAAGAAGGGAGCTGCGGAAGGAGGGTGTGGAAAATGATATACGAGACAATGAAAGAGACACGATGAGGCAGCAGAGAGGAGGAGGTCAAAGAGGAGCGAAAGGCAGGAGGGATACAGTGATGGAGGCCAGAAGGCGGCGGAGAGAGAGGGCTCGGAGGTGGAGGGAGGGGGTGATGTGGACTCACAGGGAACAGTGCGGAGGTAGAGGTTGTCTCTGATGATCTGCTGGTGGTCGTGGTCCACTGAGCCCTTGGAGAAGCGCAGGTTGAGGTAGTGCCGCAAATCCTTGTCAACCACCCCCCCTAAACACAAACACAGCAAGAGAGGTTAGTGGTTGCTCCACAATAAATGCATAAACACACAAAACTGGCAGGAGACGTTTTGCTGGAGACATCTCCGAAGATCTTACTGGATATTTAAACTGTACGCAAACTGTATTGGAAACAGCCAGAAGGATTTCACTCCAGTGGAAGTAAGAAACCTTCTCATACGCTCACACAATCAAACCTGCAGAACTTTTAAATCGTAGTGAAAAACCTCAAGTTTCCAAAAAGACATCCGGCTGAAATGAGCACGAGATGATGCCACGTCATCCTGAGTTTCAATATTTTCTCTTCCGGAGCTCAAACACAGAGTTGGGACAAGCTGATGCACAATTTATCCCAACAGTTAGCGAAGTGTAAAATTGAAGATCTGAAGCTTCTGTACAGAGCAGTAAAAACAGCAAAACTGTTCAATGTTAAGGGTGTTAAGAGAAACAACAAGGTTTTACGCTGTTACATGAGGCAAAATGGCTTAATCAGGCTGAAAGCTTGCAATGATTTTCACACCAAAGCAAAACAGCAAAGAAGGCTACTACACTCGCTGATGCAAACACACACACACACACACACACACACACACACACACACACATATGCGCACAGATCATGGTAATTGTGTAAACCAGTGATCCCCTTGGGGCTAAATGTGCGGTGTCAGCAGGTTGGGTGACAAAAGGCTACAGAGGACACAAGACCAAACCTCCTCGTCTCTCCGCTCCCCGCCTGCCTGTCTCTCTTGATTATTTGCTGCAGAAGCTGTCTTCATTGTCATTAAGTCACTGGACTGAAACACAGTGAAGTAAATGACAAACACGAGTGCGGGAGGGCAGGAGCCTAAGCGCGGGCCAACATATCTGTGCGGCACACGCTGTATGATAATGTCCATGAATGGTTTCTCCTCCCTTCATCTCAAACCAAAGAAGCCCAGGAGGATGAGAGGAGGGGAACTTATTCTCCACGCAACATTCGGTATGCAAAAACTATCACATCCGACGGCGGGAGGGATGAGGTTACATGCCATGCATTTACAAATGACAAACATGTCTTCTCACTCATGCATACTCTAGTGACCTCCTGCCAAATTGAGTCGGCAGCGTTCGGCCTACCGGTGGAGATGAACGCAGCGCTTACCTGTCAAAGAGGACATACAGCACTGGAGGGGGGGGAAACTCTTTTTCTCTTTACTCTTGGACCACACTGCATAGTTCCGTGCGGATACGTGCATGTGTGGCCCAGACACAGGTGAAACAATGAATCCTTTTGGTGTAACATCTTATGTAAAGAAGTGACACCATTTTAGCAAGGCTGTGAAGCACTAGGAAATGCTTCACAAACAGCCAAGCTAGAGGAGAGGAGAGGAGAGGAGAGGAGAGGAGAGGAGCCAGAAAACAAAGGAAGACAGGATGAAACCTTGATGAACATTATTAGGACTGTCGTGGCTCTCAGATGGGGAAACATCACATCACACCGCTATGCATTCAGGCACAGGCCACATCATTGGCATGCACAGACACCGACACACAGATTTTTTTTTTTTTTTATACATGCACACCAATACGTGTTCAGAGACAGACAGACAGCAAAGAAAAAAAGCAGAGCGATCCCGGCACCTCATCAGCAGCTGGCCCAGATGTTGATAAAAAGCGGTCCTTTTCTCCACAGGTATATATATCCACAGACAGCCTGTCCTCCCAGGCGTCCTCTAGCCTCGTAACCAACCACCGCACATCTTCTGCTGCCTCGGTGAAACCTCGCTGTCTCCTCTCCTGCCTCTGCTTCTCCGCCGCTCCAGCAACCCGGCTGCAGCCAATTTTTTAATCCCAGAGAAGAAGACGGGGACAGGGAGGGGGGATGGGGAGATGAACGGAACCTCGGATAGATGGAGAGAGACGACGACCGTCGGGAGAAAAAACAGGAGAAGGAGCTGTGCCAGTGGGAAGCCGGGCTCCGAGCAACCTGCCAGCAGATTGGCCAGACAGCTTTCATAGTCTTGCAGCAGCCCCTATCTGCTGCTGCTGCTACTGCACTGGAGTGCATTTGTGTGATGACTTGTGTGTGCACGTGTGTGTGTGTGCGTGCATGTGTGTGTGTGTGTGTGTTCGTATGCAGGAGACTGAGAAAGACTGAGAGAGAGAGACACTGAGTGACAGAACCAAATAAATGTTTATGCATGTGAAAGCATTTGTAGATGTGTATCTGTATTTTCTTGCGCGTGTTTGAGTGCACCCAGCTGCTCCCTGACATTCCTCAAATACTCTGCGTCTCGCCCACCAGATGCTCTCCCTGTTTGACCTTGTGTTAACGTCACAGACTGGAGAGAAATACTGTGAAACGCAGCAGCAGCAGCGGCAGCATATGTCACGCTGAGGTTACACACACTCGTACGAACACGGAGGGCTGATTGAGCTCACAGCTGCAGATGCCAGGAAAGATGCCTTGAGCGCCGTCTTGAGCGAGGTTTGGTCAAAAATACAAGACATAAACAAACACCAGCCTCATGATATGAGTACTCAGCTCAGGGCGCAGCTGAGTGTGGAGGAGGCCTGTATTTAAAGAGGCTCTGTTGGTGCAACTGCTTAGAAAATCTCAGAGTTAAACTCAGCGCTGTGAACATCACAGTCAGCCGCCCGCTCCGACAAAGCAGAGGAAATTCAGGACAAGACAAGTTTCATAGATTTCAAAAAAAAAAAATTGTGCCGTGTCAAGTGGAAAAAGATGACAGGCCGATCAATCACTAACTCATCAAGGCAGACAGAAATCAGCTCCTGCTCAGAGAAGCCATGCAGGCCACATAGTCTGACACTGCCCATCAACTCACCATCAGCTGATCAAAAACACCAACCATGTAGTGACATTTCAACAAGGTGGCCCATTTAAGCAGTCAGCTCCAGATTCCTCTCTGCTGGTGGAGCTGCCGGCCCTCCCTCCAACACAGCATCTTATTACGCGATGGTACACGAGGAATGTGTCCAAAATCGCTCTATTCTTGCTATACGGTGCATTACATTTACTGCACGCCATTGTATTTAAGTTCACTATATGGTGCAGTTAAATGTTTCACAGGAGGATGAAAAAAGCAGCATCCACGGCTCAATTTATGGAAGCAAAAATTACAGTTAAGGGACTCGACTGCAGCCACCGATGATCCAAAATAATGACAAAAACACATTGTGGGTCTCTTTGGGCTTGTCTGCTGAATTTACACGTTCAATATCTCGTAAATATGTTTGTTCTCCTGCTGCTGGATGAGCTACAGAGTTCCCGCTTAGTGTTTGGATCCAAACATGGACCGAGCAGAATCTTTACAAGCGGCGGTGAGACCGGACGTTTAAACAGGTATCGCTTTGCATTTTTTCTCAGGAAAGGAGTCAGTTTTACAGACGGAGACGTATAGATGGTCGGTGGCAAACACACCATAATCTACTATCTTTGTTGCTTAGCAACACAAAAGAAGCAGATTTATTCACACAGCTGTTGATTTACCTAACGCTGCATACCAGAGAGCAACACTGGTTCAGCGTATCCGAGTGAATGATTTAACCGCTAATCTGCTCGAACGGGGATTTGAGTGTATTCACGTGAAAAAAAAACGAAGATACTGAAACAAGCACTGTTGCCTCGCAGCAAGAAGGTCGTCGGTTCGCGTCCCGGTGGGGGCACCGGAATTTTTCTGCGTGGAGTTTGCATGTTCTCCCTGTGCAGCGTGGGTTCTCTCCAGGTTCTCCGGCTTCCTCCCACACAGTCCAAAAGCATGTTGAGGTTAATTGGTGATTCTAAATTGTCTGTAGGTGTGAATGTGAGTGTGCTTGGTTGTCTGTCTCTAAGTGTGGCCCTGCGATAGACTGGTGACCTGTCCAGGGTGTCTCCTGCCTTCGCCGTAAGCCGGCTGGGATAGACTCCAGCCCCCCATGACCCTAATGAAGATTAAGCGGTGTATAGATAATGGATGGATGGATACTGAAACAATTTTTGGCCGCAGACAGACTCTAAACTTACAGTTTATGGTGCATTACCACAGTGACCCAACATTAGCAGGTTTTTTAGTCTTTGTCCTGCAATACAACGGGCAGCAGAGATGCTTCTATAAGGACTCACTGACCAAAGCAGCACTGCCACTTCTAATGAGAGCAAAGCAAAAAATAAACACATTTGTCCTTTACAATCACTATTTGTAAGGATCAGTGTAAGGGTCAATACCTGTACTGATTATTTGCAATAAGATAATCAATATTCTCCATCGATACACATTTGCAGTAAAATGAAAACCCCGGTGTCCTAATTCAGAATGACTCCGACACAAAACTTTATTTCAAACAGTTTTGTTTTTTTAGGTTCAATATGTTTAATTAAAAGAGAACTTTCCACATTTATGCTTCACTGTTGACTGCCTATTACTTGTGACGTGGAACAAATCAGATATTACTGTTGGAGGAACGTTGCTTAAGACTGCAGAGCGGTGGCTGCAGAGAGAGAGAGAGAGGAGGGGAAGCTGCATCAGAGCCAAAGGAAAGCATTTTTTCAACAATTTAATTTACTGGGAATCGGTTAAAATAATAATGCTGATCATTACAAAAAATGCGGAATATTGGATACGGTAGTAGGCCAGGTGAATAATCAGGAGATCCCTAGATCCATCGCTCTATCCTGTAGAGTCTCGCAGGGGGTTGGAGCTCATTCCAGTTAACACAGGGTGAAAGGCAGGTCGCCAGTCCATCAGAGGGCCAACACAGGGAAACAGACAACCGAGCATGATCACACTCACATCTACTGCCAATTTAAAATCACCAATTAATCTTTGGACTGTGGAGCGAAGCTGGAGCGTCTAGTGAAAACCCAGAGCCGCCTAGCTGTGAGGCGACAGTGCATCACCACGCTGCCCGATTCCTGAACTGGTGTTTTGGATTTACAGAATTTATGAAATGGAATATCCATACATCTATTCATTTTCTATAAACCGTTTTATCCTCTGTAGGGTCACAG